GGTTTAGGGTTTAGGGTTGGGAACGCGCTTGGATTACGTGGCCGTTTGTCGGTGCAGTCCTCCATTTAAAGGCAGCCGAGCAGGATCCCCAAACCTCCAAAATCCTGAGCCCCTAACCCCTCCAGGCTTTGGACTAAACCATGGACTGAGATTCTGACCATGATCTTCAGAAACACGTAGCGCGGTGAGGACATACCGAAAGGTCTGCTGATCACCTGCGCAAGGCTTGCCGGATAGAAAATACACGTTGTAGGGTTTAGGGAAAAGGGTTCGGACTTTAGGGATCTTTAGGGTATACGGTTCCAGGTCAGCCTGATGCGAGAACCCACCACCGGGTTTGTATGGAAGCCAGTTCCTGCTGCTCCTTGGGGCTGTACGGAAAACCTGTGTTGTAGTGGGATCACAAAACTTCAATTGCGAAAACCAGGATTTGCTGATCAAAGGTCTATGGGCGAGTCGCGGGGTGTAGGAATGCCAGCCTATATATTCATGGATTTCTCTTCTCGGACCTTGTTAGGGTTTAGGGTCTAGGGTTAAGGGGGCAAGCATTTATGGATCAGTGTTTTGGAGTTATAGGGATTTTTGGAACGCCCATGAACTACAAAAGCTTGCTCACTTCAAAACTTTACAACATGCTCCTGCTAGCCACACAAATCTATGCCTCAGCTACTGCCCTCACATAACGAAGCCAAACATGTAGAAACTTTATACAGGGCAAATTAACTACCATTGCAGTGTTGAGGACTGCTGCAGGGCGCAGGTATCATCCAACCGATGCTATTCCACAACCCTCTCTAAACCCCAAGCAGTAGACCCTAAACCCTAGAATCCCAACACAGTCTGCCTCATCAATCTCCCGGTCGCTTAAGCCCCGACCATCCGCAACCTGCAAGAGCTTCCGTGCTGTAGGGTTTCAGGGTTTAGAGTTTAAGGTTTTGGCTTAAGTTTAGGGCTAGGATTAGGGGACTAAAAACTCAGAAACAGGCCTTCTGACATACGATACTATAACGGTAGAAGTATTGACAGCGGAGAAACTTACAAAAATGTGGCTTCTACAATACCATACTAAGACATAGACTGATAGAATTATTAGACATGCTTCCTAATTATCCAGGCTTCGAGAGCAGGTCCTTAGCTTTCGGGGTGCTGGGCTTTGGGTGCTTAGTGATAGCTGCAAAGGGGCAGTTTCTGTCTAAATGGTACGAAGGAATCAAATGAATACGATTCTTCTTGAAAAGTGTCAAGGATTTTCAGACAACATAAACGTGCTTGCAATTGGGATCCCTAAGACACCGTCTCACTTCTCATGTAGATTTAGATGAAGGTGCCCTAGTTGTTTTGCCAGAAAAGAATGGGCACCCGAGGTTGTCTAAGAAATCTGACCAGATTTCTGACTTTTGCTCAGCTGGACGTGTGCTTCACGGTTTGAGAACCGGGCTCCCCGTCCAGCTGATTCCCCAACCGAAAATCCAGACCGCATTTCGCGGCTTTCACGAAAAGAACTTGCCCTTCAGAATCCTGAGCCTATAGGAAGATTCCACAGGCATGATCGGGCCTCTAATAAAATTTAGGCAATATATGCGTGTACAATAGACATACCTCTAGACCATGAATATGTAAAAGAGTGCATGCATATATAGATATGTATACAGGCTTCACTAGATATACATACGCATTACTAACTATAGATACATCTACACATCAATATACATATATATATATATATCTATAGATGTACATGGATATCTGCTTTACACGGGTGATTCTGAGAATCTCCCAATTGCGCAAGCGGCCTGTGGAGCCCTCGAGCCCTGCGACGCTCGCAGCAGCTCAGCCAGCTCGGTCATGTCCAGGCGGCGCACGTGGCAAAGCATTGCGGCTGGCAGCCTCTAGGCTTCAGGGTCCAGGGTGCAGGATTTAGGGTCGAGGGTTTAGGGTTCGAGGGTTCAGGCTCCGGGGTGCTGGGTTTAGGGTCGAGGGCTTGCAGGTTTAGAGTTTTGGGATGCGTTGTGTCTAGGAAAAAAAGGGGTTCTCGAACACAATCGACCTGAAATCTGTTGCCTCACTTACATTCAGGAGTCTACTAAGACTTGAGGAGTTCCCGGCATGAACGAGATTTGAAGATTACGTGCGAAGCACGTAACGAACTGGCAGAGACGTATGGGATTTCTCAGAACTACACATGTGTAAATGTTGTTATTGCCTGTTGGATCCTATTGCTTTGGTGTGCTGTTCATGACGCCTGCCCTGTCACGTAGACATGGCTCTACCGTTTCGCTGTCTATGACGCGATGAGTGCCTTGACTACCAACAAACCATCATCTTTCTGGTGCTTAAGGGGGAGTGGGGGAATGGATGCCTTTATGATCTTCACATATACCCCTATAGTAGTCCCTACATTCACTGCCCCACTGCCCCACTGTCCCTGAAGCATCAGCAGATCGTTTTACGGAAATGCACGACATGGAAAAAGTCCGCCGTAGGGGTTGCTCACCTCACCCACAGCCTGAACCTGTAAGCCCATAAATCCTGGAT